CCAGAAATTACAGAAGATACACCAGAATGTTGGGCTAATTTAATGAAAAGATGTTGGCATCCTGATCCTTCTCAACGGCCAACAATCTATGAAATTTTTAAATTATCAGAAAAATTTCAAGATTATGAGAATGTTCATTTATTCGAAGATTATGTCAAAAAATATCATCCAAATAAATATAATATTTGGTCAGAATTTAAAAAAGCTGAAGATAAACGACTTGAAATGATTGAATCCAAAAAATCATTTGTAAAAAATCCAGGATATGAGCATCCTAATTCTAGATATTATAGTAGATCATTAAATTCCATATTAGAATATATTAATTCAACAGTATCCGGTATTTATTGGATTAAATGATTTTTAAAATGAATTAATTCATTATGATATAATTTCTTATAGATGACATGATTTCTATAGATCTATTCTCTAATGATAATTTACTATCCAATGATTTTGATATAATGGATTTCAAGTAAGAATTTATATACTTCTGTTATTAATCGATTTCAAATAGTTCTAATCAAAAGAATAATTTTGAAAATGTGGACCATAATTCAAGTGCGGAAAATTCTGAAAAACATTTTTTGGATGAATTACCACGAGAAGATCAAAGTAATATTTTTTAATTTTATTATAACAAATTTAATTATTTTTTATTAATTTGTGTTTTTATCAAACAGATGATTTTAAACGAAGAAAATTTGTTGAATATTTTAATAAATATTTTGTAGATGAAGGTATGGATGAAATTGATAAAAAGTTTATTATTTCTTATTTTCAATAATAATTTTTTTTTTTTTACTTTTAATTCTATCACATTTAATTAGATAATTTTGAATAAAGAAGAATTACTTGATAATTTAGTTAAGGTTTATAAATATTTGTAATTTTACTTACATATCAACAAATACTAATATTTATAACAAAAATTCTTTAAATTCGAATTTATTTTATTTTATAACAGCTTATTTATTTTACGTATCTTTTTGTGTACAAACTTTGATTCTATAATTTATTTATTAAATATAAAATCACTAAAGAGATAGTTCGCCGTTGCCTTTGCTCACGTAAATTTAATTTTGTCCTAATGTGTTGACAATTGCAATAGAATTAAAATATCCTTCTAAAAGATTTTCACTCTATTACGTTTTTCTTTAAAAAAACAAATTTTACATAGTATAAATAATTTATAAAGAAAAAATTGTTGAAGACTTAAGAAATGATCACTTCATTTATTCGGTGAAAATTTAATTAAAGGATCATTTAAATTCATTAAATATTCTTTCTGTTTGTTTCAATGCTAAGTTTTAAACCCAAAAGCCTTTCTATTTGCATTATATATAGGTATAGGTATATTCAAAAATATAATTTGGTTAAATTTTTCATTTATATTTTAAAAAATACTTTTTGTATTTTAATTCAATTACACGTTTTATTTATGTAAAATATATAATTGGTCTAATGATTTTGTATCATTTTAAATTCACACATCACAACATGGCTTTTTTATATAATAAAGAGAAAAGTACTTTTATGATGTGTTACTGTAAATTTATGTTGAAGCACAAATTTTTTTTTCAAAGAAAATATAATAAATAAAACGAAAAATACACGAATAGATTATATTTTATTATATGATATGTATAATGTGTATTTATTGTATTTATTATTCTGATTATATTTTTTCATCTTTTGTCATTTTTTATCATCTTTATCTCTTCCTTTATCATCGCCACCTTTACTCTCTTTATCTTGATTTATCCTTATCACTAACCTTCACCACCACTATCAACAATATCATCACTTTACCAATATTAATAACACTACTAATACTTCTAAAAAGTCTGAAGGAAAATTCTGCAGGCACCATTGATATCTCTATCAGTAGATAGATCGCATCTTCCACACTTAGACACCTTTTTCTCTAATTTCTTATGAATCAACTACAGTATATGCTTCAGACATTATGAATGAATAATGACAATATCAAAGGTGCACGAGAGCTAAGTAGTTTTCCTATGCAATTCATTTATAAGGTTTTTGTTTCAAAGATGCATCTATACCTATGGTTTAGTTGTTCAAGACATAGGGTTCAACGAGAGCAAAGTCAAATAAGCTTGTGTTTTGTTATCAATATCTCTACAGTCATGAGTTCAGTTAATACCTGACCTGGTCAACTGCATCTTATAGATCCAACAAATGTCCATTCGACAAGCAGACGATTTTTAAATGAGTTTTGAATTACAATTTATTGTTCCTTCCAATTGTATAAATGGAGTGGTTAATTTTCATATATGTTATCACATGACTCATTGAAATTGCAATTTTATTGGTCATTGCGGATACAGTATGGATCAATGTCACGAGAATGCAAATCAACCAACTAACGATAGGGAAAATCGATCACATGTAGGGTGGTCAAATTATCCAGTTTAATAAAAAATTGTTCAACTTTAAATTGCTACTATTCTGAAAATTTGTTTTACAGAAAATTTAAGAACGTGGGTCAATTGAGCTTGGTCTATATTATCATTCTAAGGTATTATTTTGCGTCTACTTTCTTTTTTTGAGCAAGGAATAGTGATTTGAATATTGTCAATTTTATTTGCTGGGACTAAGTCGTATGCACTATAGTAACCAATCATTATTGCTTACCAATACTCCTTACCATTATCATAAAAAAGACGAGCCCTTTTTTACAATTTAATAAATGTTTCTTGTGGAACCTATCAATATTAATCAATAAATATTATTTTTAAAAATATTTATTTGACATTATTTTGCTATTATCTATAATTGATTTTTTTCTGTGACTCTCGGAATCTGAAACCAGGATGAAAAGTTTATTTCAATTTTTATTGCTCACAGTGATTCTTCGAATGAATGAATTTTTTTGTTCTAGTTTTTCTATTATCTGTAATCTCCTCTTTTTATTACTAAATATGGATTCAAATATGTGGTATGTAAATCGGGAAATTCGTTTTCGAATGTTTAAATTAAAAAAAGACATTCAAATGCCGGAGTTTTTTAAATAAAATGCATGACAATAAATTCTAGAAATATATAATTTTCTCAACGTTCGACAAATGAATTCTTTAAATGAATTCTTTAAATTTTTTGCAATAAATATAAATACGAGAATTTTTTTTTTGGATCTATTCATAAGTTCCCCGTTTCTATGGCTAAAATTTTTTTTACAAGACTTGATGGGTCTAATAAGAAAATCAAATGTATAAAATGCAAACGAAGAAGTCGTATC